CAGCACCATGCAACACAACCTGCAGCTGGAAGTGGGTGGGGAGCAGGATATGGATTGTTATTGCAGTTATTGTTGGGAGCCGTGTGTGCAGGACAGCAGGGAGAGCCCAGGGAGTGCCCAGGTGTCAGCAGCTCACACAAAGCTCCCCAGGGGCATTTGCTTGCTGAAGGGAACCACGATTCTCAGAATGCATCTACTGGGACACACCTTTCCCTTGGAGCCAGATCCACTCAGCTGCATTTCAAATGGAGTTCAAGTATCTAAAATACCGTGGAAAAAATCTGTCTATTTTCTTTGCAGGAGGACTACTGTGGTGCTGTTAGGTTAAGGTTCCTTCCCAGGATGCCCTCCCTTCCAGCTCTGGCCCAGACCTGCACCTTCCATGGCACTTGCTGTCCAACCTGGCCAAGGGTAGCATCACCTCAAACATCATTTCCCTTCTAAAAGAAGGTTGGTAGAATACCTTCTCCTGATCACACTCTGCTGCTCACAATCCCCCTCCTCCCTCCAGCCCACGTCCCACACAGCCCCCACCCCACACGGTATGTGCTGCACACAGGCAGGGCCTGGGCTGTGGGTACAGGAGGGTGGCACACACAGCATCGCTCCCTTTTACTTTGTTTCACCCAATCACAGACCTTCCAGCACCCGAATGCTCCTCTGCCAAGTGGTTCCTTCATCCCAAGCAATCTGCACAGCAGCAGCCAGCCCAGAATTCTCCACAGTGCAGGGCGACTCGTGCAGCCCTGCTTGCAGCTGGGACCTTTGCTCAGCCCTAGAGACTGAGAAAAAGGCTTTGGAAAGGCAGGCTAGCTCCTGCAGCCAGCACCATGCCCTTGTCTCAGCCAGTTACTGTACAAATGGACAACACACACACATTATTTACAGCCCATTTTTCACATGATGGAGCAGCTCTTGGCTCGGTCTTTCCTGATCTCTGTGTCACTCAGTAAGTCTGTCCTGCCAGGCATCTGTGACGCCCGCTTCAGTCCCCGTTTGGAGTTGCTGCGCTTCAAGTTCTTGTGCACTCTGTTGACCGAGGCCAGCGTGGTCACATGGAACACGTCCCTCACGCTGTTCTCTGACACCTTGGAGGAGCACTCTGCGTAGGCCACTGCCCCAATCTGCCGTGCCAGTGCACTGCCCTGCAGCCAGAGACAGAGGAGGAACAGGGAACAAGGTTAGGACAGGTTAGTTAAGTTAGGTTAGGTTAGGACCTTGCTGTCCAAGGAGCAGCCTCTCACACAGCCAGCAGCCCCATCAGGGCATAGTGGCACCATGGGGCTCCTCAGCACCTGTGAACACAGTGCAAGGCTCTGTGACAGCTCCAGAGGTGAGGGCAGCCTCCTGAGCAGACAGTGCTGGACCCTGGGTTACAGGCACTTTGTCCTTCACACAGTGCCATCCCTGCAGCTGAGAGAGTCACTTGCTCTGCACAACACAGAGCCTGGCACAGCAGCAGCTCAGAGTGCAGCTACCCTGCACCAGTCTGGGTCTGTCACTAGCCTGGAGACATTGCTGGGTCCTCTGGAGGCCACTGGCAGCAGCCCCTCAGCCCCCCAGCTGTGGTTTCTTCCCCCTTGCAGTTTTGGCCCAACATAGAACCCAAGTAGGAGAGTCACTGGGAGCAGAAAGAGAACTAGCAGATGCAGAAGGACACCACTCCCCTTTAGCCAGTCCAACTTGTCAAATCAGGCACTTCCACCTGCTTTGAGGAATTACTTTTTGGCTACTAACTGGGTGGCTGCTCAGCAGAGCATCAGGAGTAAGTCAGGGTCTTCCAGAGCTGGGGCCAAGAGTGCTGTCAACATGAGAAGCTCTGAGCCCCTGAGCCACGATCAAAGCAGCTGCAGACGCAGCCCTGGGTGCAGTGGGTCACAGAGCACACCTCCCTCCTCCCTGAGCACTGCCAAACACACCTGCTCATGTGTCACAGGGATGAGGCGCTGCTTGGAGAGCTCCCGGAGGGTGTTGAGGTCTGTCCTCATGTCCAGCTTGCAGCCCACCAGCACAATCTTCGCGTTGGGGCAGAACTCCTGCGTCTCCCCTTGCCACTGCAGAGAAAAGGAGAGGCTCTGGTGTGTGTGGATTTTCCAAGCAGGGTGTCACAACTGTTCCAAACACTGATTAGCATATCAGAGGTCTTTAATGACTGCCACAGTAAAGGATGGGAATGGCCAGAGAACCCCTTGGACAACTCCGTGCTCGCCTGTTCCAGATTATGCCCTGCAAACCTGCCCCATCCAAGCTGTGGCCCCCTGTGTGAGACCATGGGAGGCCAGTCCTGGCCGTGGAAAAACAACAACCACACAGTCTGGTGCTCAGATCTGGGACCTCAAGGGTCAACACGGCCAGTGGAGAGCTCTTTCCACACTCACACACTATTTATTACTGGGAACCACCTGTTAAAGACATTATGATATTCAGAGCATAGCTACAGTCAGGGAAATTAAGAATTGAAGCGATGGGAAGAGAAGGCCAGGGCAAACATCCATGTCCTTCATATAAATGGCTCCTTTCAGAGCTCCCAAAGTGAATGCCTGATGTCAGCTGTGTCTGCAGCAGTAAATAAATCCATCACCTGTGACCTCCCCCGGGGGAGACCTGCACAGCTCCATCAGCATGTCAATGCCCCAGTTACTTATCTAGTGGTGCTGAAGTAGAAAGCAGATAATAAATAGAGATTACCCCCAGCTGAAGTGTCATTAGAAATTAGCAATTTCCTGCTACTATAACTGGTGGTTAAGCATATACCCTGGGCAATTAGAAGCAGAAAGAAAACCAAGCCACTAAGCCCAGTGTCCACAATCTCCTGGGGAAGGGAGTGCCAAAAACCGCCCAAATATCATTCAACCAGTATCAGACCAAAGCAACTGCACAATATGAAAAATCGTATTTTCTATCAAGAGCTTGTCTTAGGTATCTTCAGGTATCTGCTTGCCAAGGACATTGGTTTCCCAGGACTCAGGCACCCCCAGCCCCTGGGCAGCATACCTGGGGTGATCATGGTGCTGCAGTCAGAGCACCAAAGGCCTACACAACCTCTCAATGAACAGATCCAGTTCTTTTGGAGCTGGAATTCAAGCACCCTAATTTACATGAAGGATTTGAGCTACAAGGTGTGTTCACACCTGGCCTAGGTCACAGTTCTGCAGTGACAACAAGGCTCCCTAGTCTATGGAGAGAGCTGTGACCCTCTTCCTGCATGACTGACACCTCTGGGAGCCCAAAATCTGTTGTGTTATCAAGCCTTGTCAGAACCAAGGCACCACTCCACGAAAACTTGCTCTGCATGAAAGGCAGAGCTGCTTGCTTGCACTCCCTCAGATGGCTCTGCCCCTTCAACTCTACATGCTGCACAGCAGCCCAGGCATCAAAAGGAAGGCATTAATAAAGACTTCCTCTGCTGAAATTTTGCCTGAGGCTTGAACAGGAAATGTTATTTTCCTTATTTGCCTGATATCACAAGCTAAAACCCATTTCAACTTCATGGTGTCTTAGGAATTTTCCTCACCGCCATAAAGCTGCACCAAAGGAAACAAGACATCTTCTCAGAGGCACTTAAGAAATCCCCTGGGATTTAGGGTTTATTTTAAGTTACCATATCAAAAAAACATTGCCTAACAGCACTCAAAACATCTGTGAGGCTGTACAGGGAAAGCCATGCACTGAGCAGGGTGGACTCACATGAAGAGTGTGCAGAGACAAATAACTCCCAGCCCCACCTAATTATTGAGGGGTTTGTATTTCATTAAGGTATGAGTGATTCACTTGCATTATTATTCTGCTGACTCCCAAGCTGAGCAGTGAATTCTTTTGAGTCCACATGAAACACCCTCCCTCCACCCAGCCTGCTTGGTACTCGGGACCTGTTCTGGAAGCCAACACTGAGCCATTGACCAATTTATCTGAAGGGTCTTTGTCCCCTCACCAGGACACTCCTGAGACAAAGAGCCACTTCTCAGCCCTCCCAGCAGCTGAGTAAGAGGCACTTGCTTCAGCACAACATTTGGCAAAATGTGTAGGGGCCAAGAGGCCAGCCAGTACAATGTGTCATGTTCAGGCCGTGGCCATTCCAGCCTGGGGCTCTCTGAGGAGAACAGGCACGGGAGCCACTGCTCTGTGGTGCTTCTCATGCTTTGGTGTCTCAGGGAGTGTCACAAATGAGATGCCAGCCAAGGCTCTCCCCAGGACAGGATGCAGCTGCCAGATGCTTTCTGCACAGCAGAACCACAGCTCCCTGAATTGCATGGATAGAAGCAGGGCACACCAGGACCAAGGGATGCAATCACCAGGAAGCCACTTACCCTCGCTCCTCTGAGCAGCATCTGGAGTTGCTGGACTTGTCTCCATCTTAGAGGAAAGCCTTGTGTGGGACCTTCTCCCAGAAGTGACCCACTGGAGACCAGCCAGGGGTGCTCCACAGCACATCCCCAGCCCTGTGAGGCTCTCTGGGACCTGCCAGCTGGAATATCAGCTCTGCTGAAAGGCACTAAGGTGCAGGTAGAAAACTCCCAGCTGCTCCCACAGAGCTCTGCTGGGACAGGCTTAGGGTCTTGCCTGCTCTCCAGGCCATCTCATCTTATTAATTCATGGGCTTGAAATTCAGCACCACAGCTCATTATTTTTGTTGATGAGCTATAGAGAACTGATTGCTGTCTTTTCTACTATGCAGATGCTGAGCTGAGGGGAGAGCCAAAAAGCTGAGCACTCTGCTTGCTTGGAAACAGGCACCAGGGGCTACTTCTCAGCTGCTGCAGGCAATCCATAGTCACTGGTGGTTCTGCTAACAGAGATCCATAATACCTTCCAAGATCTTAACAGAAAAAAGAATAAATGCCCCACATTTGTTTGTGTGAACACAGACCCCACACACACGCTGCAAGCTGCCACCATTCACTAGGTCCATCTCAAATGGAAATATCTTGCATTCTGCACAGACCAAGCAGAGCATCCGATCCTCCTCTGAGCACAGGAACTCCAGCCTGGCCTGGCCACAGGGCTGAGCTCTGAGTCCTGCTGGGATCCTCAGGGCACAGGGAGCCCGTGGTGGCCCACAGGGGCCGCAGAGCAGCCCTGTCAGTGGCAGGGCCGGGCACTCACCTTCTTGAGCACGCTGTCCAGGGTCTCGGGCCGGCTGATGTCGAAGCAGATGAGCACAGCGTCCGAGTCGGGGTAGGCCAAGGGCCGCACGTTGTCGTAATAGGCCGAGCCTGAGGAGAGGAGCCAAGGTGAGCAGGGCCCAGGCCTGTCCCTGCCTGCAGCACATCCCACAGGCCAGGCTGACACCACAGCCCTCCCGGACAGAGATCCTCAGCCCAGAACTGCAGACACTGCCACGGGATGCAGACTGCTCTGCTGAACACAAAGGATGTTAACCCGAGCTTTTGACCAGTCCCACACCATAAGGTTCACCAGAGACTGACTGGCAGAGGATTTTAATTCCTTTGTTTAGGCATGGAAGTCAGAGGTTTTGTCCTTGTTTTCTTATATTTACCCCTTGACAGAGTGAAGAGGCAAGTTTTGCATCCCTCTTCCTCCCCAGTGAGCAGGGGATGCTGCTCAGGCAGGAGAGCCCAGCTCAGCTCAGCTCAGCTCAGGCCTGGCTCACCACTCACGCCTGGCTTCCATCACTTGTCATGCCAGTGCTGCACCACTAACAGTGGAAAGGTGTGGCTGAGAGGAGACAGAGTGCTGCTGCTGGTTTTTATCCTCCCTTGCTGTCTTTATACAGAAGAGCTTGCTCACAGAGGTTGTGAGAATTTGTGACAGGTAAAAATGAATTGCCTTCTTTCTGGATTTGTGCTGGAAAAAGACAGATTCTTTTTGGCATATAAAGAATTGACAGGTTTTAGTGAACGAGCTATAAATGGAAGGGGATGATTCTGCATTCCACAGGAATTCTGTGAGCAGGCAAAGAGTTCAGCCTGAATCCTGCACAGCTTCTACTACACACATGCACACACACACACACCTTCAACGCAAATTTCAGGCAGTAAAGTCACCGTGCCATAGCGTTTTTATTTGCACTGCACTCTGTTGGTGAGTGCAGACACCTCAGCAAACAGTCATAGTCACTGCTACTTAAAAACACTGCTTTGGTTTTATATTGCAAAGACAAATGACTTAAACTTCTTGGAGGGATGAGAAGCAGAGATTTATTTATGGAAAGAGGAAACAGAGACCTCAGAGCCCTTGTTGAATCTGCCTCCTCCAAATGCAGGATTGCCCACCCTAGGCTGAGGAAGCCAGACATCTTCCTGCTGCAGCTCCTTGGGATGCCTGGACCCAGCACTTTCCCAGCCCAGGAGAAGGGTGCAACCCAGGTGTCAGGTGGCTCCTTGTTGAAGTTCAGCACCCGATGAATTATGGATGATGGTGGCTTAGGTTTCCGGAAGGATGGAAATCTGCCTGGGCTAAGCACGAGAGGAGAATGGGCTGATTCTCTGCAGGAGCCCCAGTCCTGGGTCCTGTGTGCACACCCAGCTGAGGTGCAGCCCCGAGTGGGGCACAGTGCAGCACAGCACTGCAAACACTGCCCACACAGGCACTCCACAAACACCCCAGGCCTCTCTGCAAGACTAAGCCTGGGGAGCAGAGCCCGATGCTCCTGCCTCTGCCTACATGGGGCAGGCTGAGAGCTGTGTGCAGCCTTCCCAAACCCTGCCCAGTGCCAGAGTGTGCCCACCCAGCTCAGACCACGCTACCAACAACAGCAGAGCTCCAACAAGCCCAGCCCTTGCCACTCCCACGCAGCCAGGGGAAGGTTGCCCTGGATTTGATGATGTGCAATTGGATTCCCAGCAAAATTGGCTACAGCTGTTTCCAGCTCTTACAGCCAGCCCAAAGGAGCAAAGGCTCCTGCACCCACTGCTCCCACTGGGGAGGGATGGGTCTCTGTCCCTGCAAAGTCACCGGGAAGGGAAGCAGCTGGGATCAGCATAGAAGAGACCCCAATCTCTGCAGAGCCCAGCCCTCTTCCTAGATGGAAAGTCATGTTCCCTAACGGAAAGGAGCCAGTCCCTGGGGCATCTTGGACAGCTCTGGGAACAGGGGTGCCAGACAGGCAGGCACGGTGAGCCAGGGTGACCCAGTGTCCTGGGCACAGAGGTTTCTGACCTTGCCTCAGGCTCACACTGCTGCAGTTCACACCTGGCAGAGTCACAGCACTGTCATGGCACAGCCAGGTGAACCCAGCCCTGCCCAGCCCGGGGCTGCTTTCACAGGCAGCACCAAGCACAGCTCCCCTCTGAATGGGTTTTCAGTCTCATGTTTGGCATGGGCTGACAGGACAGGACGGGATGGAAGACCCATGATCTGCATGCCTGAATTAGCCTGGTCCTTTATCTGAGCCCTGCCCTGTCCCCCATGCACACAGGGGTGTCTGCCTCCAGATAGGGGCCCTGGTGCTGGAGGAAACGTTCCCACGCACATCCTCTCCCTGCAGCTTCTCAGTTTTACATAAACACTTCAGATAAATCTACCCCCTCCCAGCCAAGGAATGCTCCTTTTGTTGGGGTAGTTTTGGCTCATTCAGCACAGACATTGCCACAGCAAACTGTATCATAGCAACCTGCTGCTCCTCAGCAGCCAGCCAGCCCCTCAGAGAGCTGACAGCACTGCTGCAGCCCCCCACTATCCCACATGACCCTTCACAGGCTCATCCCAGTGCCAGGAATCACGCTCTCATCACCTGGGACAACAGGAGGAGACACTCCTGTGCTGGCAGGATTTGCTGAGGGAAGGAAAGCACAAGGTAAAACCTTATCTTTATAATGAGATCAAAATTTGCTTCACATTTATTAACTTTCTGTTCCGTCTCCAAAGAGCAGGAGTCACCCCTGGCACCTCAGCAGAGTTCAGCTCACAGCCAGAAGCAGCAGCTTCTGCCCAGCTCAGGAGCCTGACAGAAACCCACAGTCAGTGCTGCCCTGAAGAGCTGCATTGCTCCCAGCCAGGGAAATGCCCCAGTTTGCTCTGGAGACATCTCCACTGAATCTGGAGATTCTCTTTGAGTGATTAGTCTTCTAGGTTTTGCATCTATTACTTTTTCATTGCATATGACAATTTAAAAAAACAAAATAACAAAATACCCCTGAAAACCCCACCTAAATAACCCAAAAAAGCCAGTGCCTTCAGCTCTAGCTCTTCAGTCTTGTGGATTATAAGCACTTGACACCTTACAGATACTCCAGCAAGACACTCCAGAGACCCACAGTCTGGCAATTCCAAACACACACAGGAGCCCAAGGCTGGTGTGTCTGCAGATTCAGCCTTCCTTTACTGCATGAGTCATTCTCCCACTTTGGCATCCAGGTCTGCAAGAAACAGGACCTAAGTGCATCTGTTCATGATTAAAGAGAAAACTGGAGCAAGCCTACAACCAGCTTAAAAATAATATTCACACAGTTGTCTGAAATTCAGGGCTGGATACAAGCATGAGTAGCTCCTGTTTCCCCTTGGCTGGTAGATCCTGGAATGCCTGGCACTGCAGCTCAGAGATGCCACTCTTGGGCAGGGGACAGAAATATGCTGTTTCATCTATACCAACATTGTGCTAATCTTCATTTGCTCCTTATTAGCTGTTCTAGAGATAATGAGTCTCCTCACACAGGCACCCTCCATCCAACAATAGGGCATTACAAACCAGGAAAGCCATGTGCTTGCAGAGCCATAATCTGCTCTGCAAGGGGCTCCTGCAGCCCAGCTCTGGCTTAGAACAGAGATGAGCACTGCCAAGACCTCAATTTCTCAGCAGCACACTTGTCTTGGGGGGCTCACTGTAAACTCTTCCCAAAGAGCCAGCAATGCTGAGGCACACATGCACTGCCAAGAACAGCCTTGGTGGAACAAAACAGAAATTCATCTCAGCTTTCTGGGGGGCTACACTGACAAACTGAAGAGTTTTGGGTCACCTCCCCACACAGAGGTATCAGATGAGCCCCAGCCTTTAGAGATGACAGAGGATGCCCACTCTGCCAGACAGATCCCACCCATGGTCCAGCCAAGTTCTGGGTAAGAGGACAAAGCTGCCAAGCCAGGGCCAAGTCAACAGCCCCAGGACTTCTACAACCTTCTGTCCCGGCTGAACTTTGACATTTGTCTTGGTGGTGCAACATCACTGCAAACCCCTGAAGTATAGGAAAGGAGGAAAGTGCTCTGTGACAGAATAAACACTCTTCTGGGAAGTGCACAACTGAAAAAAATCTGCTCATCAGCTTGGACAATTAACCTCTGCTCCTAATTCTTCCAACACACGTACAAAAATTAGTGAATTACTAAAGAGCTCAGCTGGCATACCTTCAGGATGAAGGGAATAGTATTTGCATAGGCTGAGGTGGCATTTCTGGGCCCCTCTCCAGATCTTATTACTGGAAGCCTGCCCCTCAGGAGGAGGCTGTTCTGCTGGATTTACCAGTGGAGGAATCCCCAGCTCAGGCAGGCACAGAGTGCCTCTGCCTCATCCCAGTCCTGTGTCCTGCTCACATATGCAGCTCCCAGTGGTCCAGAGAAGCTTGCTCACATGCAAACCTCCCTCCAGCAACAGTGAGGAGTCCCTGAAAGCTCCTTGTACAAGCACCTGCTGTTTCCTGGGGGAGCAGAGTGTCTGGCACGGGAGGACTGGGTGTGCAGATGCAGCCCAGGAGCCCTCCCAGCCTTTTCACAACCACGCCTGCAGCACAGCTGACCAGTGAGACAAATGGGGGTCACAAGTCCCTTCCTGGCACTCTTGCCATGACACAAGGACAGCTGGCATTGCCACAACCTGCCTGTCATCCTTTCTACAGGCTACAACAAGGACCAGGAGTGGCAAGAGCTTCCCTCAGCACAGCCAGCTCACACTCTGCCCTTAGGGAGCACGGCTGAGGGCTGAGTGAACACAATTCTCTTGGTGCAATGCTGCACATTTCAGGTTTACTGTTCACAAGCATTAGATCCCTCCCTAACCATTCGGCTGCCAGATAAGGTTTCTTCCCACAGGGAAGGCTGGGCCTATACATTTGCAAAGTT